ATCGAGGTATTTTACTCGATACAGTTGACCCAACCCAAAAATATATTTGATGGCCACATAAAATGTTCCTCTCCCATGTTGTCTGACATGCTTTAAGGAGTTAAAACCATTGTGCCCAGATTTCTTTATTTTTTTAAATACACGGTTTCATTTGTTCACAAACACCATATATAATCTGTTCACCAAGTACGTTTCACACTAGATACGGTTATTATTATTATTATTATTATTATTATTATTACGGTTCAAACCACTTCTCATCATCTGGTTACATGTGGTGACTATTACTATTCATTTGTTTATAAAATAATGTTTTAACGTGGCTTCCTATGGAAATTGTTTTTAAATATCTATTTTTGCTCCAAACAAATACTAGTAGTTCATACAGGGGAAATGTGCCACTATTAAAGCGGGGGAGTCGTCACCCGTGCATGCTTCAGACGGCCATAGCGAGTCATTGTTTACAAACAAACGTCTACCTAGGGGACTCGAGATGAACGCGTCGACTAACGAACTAATCGCGCGAAATAGACAAACTATTATATAACCGACAAAGCATGCCGTGTAGACGGTTCATCTGGTTTAAATAGAATAAATCCACTGTGAGATGCCTGAATAAAAGGCTGACAAAGTCACTTTTTTTTTATTGATGTTCAATAATTCGAATTTACGTCATTAGTATTTTGGGCTGCCAATTTAATAATTATTAGTTGTCTGAGGTTTCTACGTCGATCCTTCGGCTTAACGAGCTCTCTTTCTTCAATTTAGTGGACACACATGGAAAGCGAGCGAAGATAGCAATATAAGCGATGACGTGGTTGGATACGCATCGAAGAGAAGTCAGTGGGTAATTATCATATCTAACAATAGAATTTCGTAACCGTTTTCCTAGTAACCCAGCCTGACATAGTCGCGTGAATTGCGCCCCCCGCGGTGCTCGTCTGATTCCGTTCGGCCGATGAGGGCTCCACATGCACCTACATGTTTGTTGGCTTGTTTGGTTAACGCATGGAGGTAAATTAACGCAATGTATTTCTCGCCAACGTTTCAGTAAAGTGTTGTGCCTGGATCGGAAACCTGTATTCTCGTATCATTCAGGTATCTATCGCAAAAGTGCGACCGGAACTTACGGCTTTGAAACTTCCGTCCACCGTTAACGTCGCGGTTTTCTCAATAATTGATGCTTCGGCCGTGGACTCAGAATAAAAAGAACATCCGCGGCCGAAACGTCTGCTAATGAAAAAGCAGCAGCATTTAGGTACATGATACCACTCAGATTAAAAACTGTTGTCCGTAGATAAGATAAAAATACTATCCGGGACTACTTTATTTTGTCCGTAACAGTTGGTGATGCTTCCTGTTTATACTCAGCTTAAATATAACACGTGTGTCTGAGAATGAATGTCACGTGGTTAGCATATGAATGGGACAAGAGACTGTATCGGCTTGTCCAGGACGAGGAACACCTGTTATTCGTGTGTAAAGCGCAATTCACACTAAGAACAATGGTTGGAGTGGGCGCTACCACACGATGCAATACCCATCATATAGATACTTACTATGATACAAACATATCGGCTATTCCTGTTCACCAAATCTACACGTGGAATCTCACAGCACACAGTGTACGAACACAGAACTCACACGATTGAACTGCAAGAGAAACAGACCGGTAAGTTTTTAAAAAAAATTTCCCCCTCTTAACACCACGTATTTTATGCTCCGACCGTAATGTTTATTTTTTTTTATTGGCGCAACACTGTTTTTGGAAAGTACAACCGTAAGGTCGCTAGGTACTACCATGGAAGGTAATAACTAATAAAAAAAAGTAATAACCATGAAAGATATAAAAGTCGACACACATGAAACGGATTGTATTAGATATGTATTTTATGTTTGTGGCCCGGCGGCGAATAAATGAACAAACATCTGTTGCACTGTCAAAAACGATCATGTTAAATCGTAAAAATAAGTTTTGAATAAGATAGTCATACATTCGTTGTGCATTTAATAATTATATATTAACATCAAACAAGAACACATATCAAATATAGTTTATATATTCGGCCACAAGCGACCAGGGCCGGATCGTCCTAACACCCACCGGGTGACTACCGTCGGCCGGGACACATCCGATTCGGTCGTAGTGCCATTTAACCCCTCGGCAACCTTTTGTTTTTGATATTAATTGTTCTTCCATAAACTTGAGGTCAGTCTTATTCATGTCCTTTGCCACATACCCCGATGCTGGTGTGTCTGGTTCTTTTATCTCTGCCACCTTTTGTTTTCAATGGTTGCTGCATCTCTCCCCACTCATCACGAACTCTACCTAACCAGAGACGACGGCACAACATTTTGTATGAAGGGACGAGATCTGAAATTTAGACCCCCCCGAAACACTATACGCCCGGTGACGCCGACGCCACTGCTCACCCAGTCATGGCACGATCCTTTACACAGGCAACAAATCGTGATATTGCCCTTACAAGCATGTGTTATGAGTATTCAATGTCATGTGACCGAGTTTCAACCAATCACAGCATGCATAACAACTGTGATAAATTTGGATATTCTCGGCGGTCAGAGACGCTTGCGGATACGTTATGTCGACGTTTTCTCAAAAAATCATCTGTAATTTATGAACAGGTCGAACAACTGAAACATTTTCTGCTCAACAAGGTATATTGTATCACTTGGGTTATGTTCGATGTAAATACTTCTTGTTACTGGGAGATAATCATCGAATTACACTATTATATCGGTCGATCCGACCATAGTCGCCGCACCGTGTTACGTAATTGGCGCTGATTACTTGGATTTCTCACGGCATTCCAGGATTTGTTGCAATCGTATACCGACGTTTATTTTATCAAGGTAATTGTTTAACTTGTTGTGTATCGTACATACATGCCGGTTTCATTAAATTGTTCATTCGCCGGAAAGTTTTGTTTATTGCGTTTTATTTTAGTCCGATCAGGATCCGATTAACCCCATTGTAGTGTGCTGTTTTTGTTTATGTGCGCGCGTCACGTATATAATGTCGTTCGTAGCTAGCTGGATATCTATCAAAATCTTACATGTGACAGAACCCTTGGAAGCGTAATAAAACAGCCTGTATTGGCAATTCACACTTGACCACCAACTAGATAGTGCCATATCAATTTGGTTATTTTTTAACAAATCCAAAATCATTGATAATTTACTAGTACATGATTGCATTTGATGTTTTGATAATTGTAATGGGTGTATGTATTAAATATGTACAAGCTAAAAGTCAGTTGCCATTGTCAAGGGAACCACTGAACCACAACAATCTGTCGCCGTTCACAGATATGCTTTTACACATAGAAACGCAAATGTAGACACATTACATCGAAATAAACACTAAATACTAAATACAGCTATCCCGGCCAGCAATCGAATCACCAATCTTCATGAGTGGTGTGACTTGTGTTTCCATTCCCACTATCCTCAAACGCTCAAATGAAAGTTGTGGAGTTCGTGAGTGTGCGTCTTTTCATACGCATGTCAAACGTTTCGGCCATGGACGTTTTGGCCTAAGCAGAGTTCAAGGGTAAGATTATATTAGCCACAGAGTGAAAATATTCTAAATGAAAGTATAAGGAGAGGTGTCTTACAAACAACGATTTCTTCACTCTTGACGATCTCTATACAATGTTTTTATTTATTTATTTATTTATTTATTTATTTATTTATTTATTTATTTATTTATTTATTTATTTATTTATTTATTTATTTATTTATTTATTTATTTATTTATTTATTTATTTATTTATTTATTTATTTATTTATTTATTTATTTATTTATTTATTTTTATATGGACTCTCATATGTGTTTGATAGACTGAAATAAAAGATAATACATTGTACAATGTTTCATAAATTCAATTCAGGGGTAGATGGGTTATTTATTGGAGACGCCCGGGGAACCAAAATTTGCGATGTGAATCAAATCACTCCGGTGACAAAAAATCTGCGATAGTAGCCAAGGTGGCGAAACATATTTTATATATAGCCTAATAGGGTATATAATTACGAATATATGCCGTACTTGCAACGTACGATTTAAAACTAATAAGAAATATACCGTACTTGTACCACACGAGCTTATTAGTAAATAAATAAATACACGCTTTACTTTCAACGTACGACTTATAATATAAGTAATTGTAAATACAATAATTAGGCTGTACTTAAACACTACGATAAAGACTTTCCTTTTTCGATATTGTGAAACTTGTAAAAAAAAACTGTAAAAACTGATTTTGACAAGATAATTCAGAAATTGATAATGCAACGAACGGGTTAAAACTAAATACATAAAAATATGCCGCATTTGTAACGTGTGAGCTTTTAGTAAATATAAATAAAATAAATATAAATATGTATAACTGCAATGATTCAATCGCTAAGATATAAATCATGTATCTAGCCGAAACTTCCGCCATTTGACACCCCAGACGTTTCGGCAACGGAACTTTCGGTCACACATATATTTTATATCCAATCGATTAAGTTCTTTTATTCCTAGTTCGCCGTTATATTTTATTATTACTCGTTAGTCGTACGTTACAAGCGTATATTTAACCATACCATATGCAACATCAACTTCAATTACAGAATAATGAATGCAAAAAGGTCATATCTTAGTGACTACAAGATGTGCACTCTGAATAATATATCTCCAACTTTTAGTCAGTTGTTCTCCCTCTTGAACGTTATCAAGAAAATTAAATTAGCAAATTCAGTAATTAAAAATGCTGGTGATGTATACATATTGCGCCCGAGTGCTTATTTCTTAGATTGTAGGCAGAACAAATTGCACGTACGTCGAGTTAACTGTTTGTTATCGTTATTGTTTCATTCCAAGGTTATGGATATCAAGAACGAAGTAGAAATATTGCTTAACCAAGTGAGGGCGCCATACCGATGTGAAACGTGTTCTAAAGAGTTTATATGGATGAACCAATTGAAATACCACATGAAATTACATGCCGTACAGTACCGGTGTAGAAAATGCGACGATACTTATACAAACAGAAACGATCTGCAACATCATATGGAAACACGCATTGGCCAGCAATCGTACCAATGTGGCGAGTGTGAGAAAAGCTTCACCAAGAGAAACGCCCTCGATCGTCACAGCGTCTCACACAGTGGGTATAAACCTTAACCATATCAGTGCGAAGTGTGTTTGAAATGCTTTGGATCGCAAAACACTTTGAAAATCCACGCTCGCATCCATACTGGCCCAAAACCGTATCAATGTGAAATCTGTCAATATGAGTTTACTCAGGCGACCCATCTTAAAGTACACATGCGGCTTCATACCGGTGACAAACCATACACATGTGCCATCTTAAAGTACACATGCGGCTTCATACCGGTGACAAACCATACACATGTGCCATCTTAAAGTACACATGCGGCTTCATACCGGTGACAAACCATACACATGTGCCATCTTAAAGTACACATGCGGCTTCATACCGGTGACAAACCATACACATGTGCCATCTTAAAGTACACATGCGGCTTCATACCGGTGACAAACCATACACATGTGCCATCTTAAAGTACACATGCGGCTTCATACCGGTGACAAACCATACACATGTGCCATCTTAAAGTACACATGCGGCTTCACACCGGTGACAAACCATACACATGTGCCATCTTAAAGTACACATGCGGCTTCATACCGGTGACAAACCATACACATGTGCCATCTTAAAGTACACATGCGGCTTCATACCGGTGACAAACCATACACATGTGAATTCTGTGGAAAGTCTTTCACTCACAAAGTCAGCCTAATCAACCACACGGGACCACGCTTTTGTAAAACATTTGTACACATTTAAAAATGCAATATGGCTGTAATTTGTAAAAAATGTTGTTTGATAGTCCATACTGTAGATCAAATGAATTTGTGATTTATCCTAACTAAAAATGCTGCGATTGTAGGAACTATAAAAGTATCCATCCGTCCTTTATTGTTGTTCTTCAATAATTCAATAAGACCCAATACAAATATTCGCGTTTCCGGTCATCGCAAGCATCGCTTAACATTTTAGAAAAAGGGAATCAAAATAAGGCACAATTTAAATAAAAATTATTAACCAAAAATTTGTGGAAAAAATTGACCAGAAACTTTTTTTTCCCGAAAGTATTGTCCAGTGAAACCACGTGAGATGTTACGAAATCGCGCGTGATGATATAAACAACACGTGGTGATTTTGAACATTTGTTAAGCATTTGATGAAATCAGAATATTTTGAATGTATAACCGATGATGACTTTGCATTTGTCTGTATTTTCATTCTTTTATTAAATTAAACCACATACCCCTATAAATGTGAGTGTAGTTCTTACTGTCAATCCATGTACTTGATCACACGAATTTCGTACGTCCTCCAATGGCGGCGGAGGCGCTGAGCGATCGCACCTTTTGAAAAAATGTGTGTGTGTGTGTGGGGGGGGGCATCGTCCCCTCAAAAATCAGGAATTGGCGTTTCAGAGGGTCTAGATTTCAAAATGTTCCCCTAGTAAGGTGAGGATGGGGTGGTGAGCATACCCCCATGCATAATTTCTTGTAGCCGCCACTGTCTTTCACTATGGTTATCATTCAATTGACTAAATTCCATCTCAATCATTCATGTGGCTATAAACTTATTTTAATTTTTTTTATTAGTTTTGTTATTAATGCCCTTTTATTTTATTATTTTACTTTGA